CGTCGTCGTTTTTTAGACTATCGCTTGTATTGAAAAAAAAGTTCAATTTAAGCAAAACTTATGAACTTGGGTGTGTGTTTGGCATGATGCAGAGATATGGGAATGGGCCTGAAGATGAGCTACCTCTTGAAGCAAATGGAGACTACACAAGAAAAATAGGGTACATAAACGTTGCAAATTACACAGTGAATGTGACAGATGGCAGCTCATATGGCAACCTGTTGAACAACATTTGGTTTCAACAGGAGGAAGTCTTCCCCATAGATGGAACTCCAGAAGAAAGACAGCATGCCTTTTGGGTTGCTGTTGATCCCCTCTACTATGAAATCTCCCAAAAAGTAAAGGTAATTTAGGGCTTTCCTGCCCTTGATTGGCTGAGCGCGTATGACGTGACGACATATGGGTACTTACTACATCAATTAATATGTTCATTAACGGTCACACGAATTAATGTGACACTTGAGGATGTTTTAGAATATGTGTTCATTAACATGTATTGATTATTGCTTGCATGTTGTTTAGGACGTGAAATTGGAAGGCTGCCTCAACTCAACAACATGTTTGTCCAATATACCAAAAGTGGCAAGAGTCCAAAGGGGAGCAAGTGCAAGCATTTACCTAGACAATGCTGCTTATCGTGGCTTCCTATATAACAAATTCAACATAAGCCCTGTGGACATGGAGACTGCTTCTGTTGCCTTGATATGTCTCCAACAAAGGGTTCCCTTCATAGCCATCAGGGCTCTCTCTGACTTGGCCGGCGGTGGCTCTGCTGACTCGAATGAGGCCGACACGTTCACCTCTCTCGCTGCCAAGAACTCGGTTACAGTTGTTGTGGAATTTATCAAACAGTTATAAGCTGCTGCTACCATCTCTGTTTAATATTCATGATTTTGCTTCTTTTATTACTTTTGTATGCAGCTTTTGTAATTTTAAATAAATTGAGGGCCTTTTCCGAAAATGGGACCCCCTTGCTGCTGCTCTTGTGCTGCCTCATTATGCAACTTTATTATTATTTTGTCAAGGATTTATAGCCAATTATTGCTTTTCAAGGCTCCTCAGTGCCTCAACCCACCTATCAAATTTTCAACCTAAAAAAAAAGTTTATAAAAAAAGTGAAAAAGGGCTCACCTTCAGGTCTTGCTTGACTTTCTGGGATATTGTGATCGAGCAGAGCAGGTTGGTTGCCTCGCCTCAGCTGGTGTTGTTTCTGAGATCTGGGTTTTTTTGGCTCACAGATTGTTTGCTTTACTTCTGGCTTGTTTGTAGCTTTTGCTTGTTTGTGAGTTTCTGCTCTCTCTTGTTCTGGTATGTTTATTAGTTGTTTTCATTTGTCTTTGGTCTTTGTTTCTGTAACTGTGGAATTTCCCCTGTCCTGCTCTGTAGACTGCAGTTTGTATTTGGGGACTTTAAGCTTTGCTCTCTCTCTCTCTCTCTCTCTCTCTCTCTCTCTCTCTCTGTGCAGATAAGAAAGAAAATGGGAATTTCAGTTGTGGCTTGCATAGTTCTCTCTGCTATATTGATGCTTAATGCACAGCAGTCAAATGGTGCATTGTCAGCAGAGACACAGATGTTGATTGAGGAGGCCAACATGAGTGGCCCTTATTTAGGTTTGGTCATTCCAAATTCTTTTGAAATGGACCCTCTTCTGCAATCTCCAAACTTCACTTCAAGCAACTTGTTTGTAGATTTTTCTGGTAAGGATATGCAAAACCACAATATACAATCATATCAAGCAAGTTAATTACCGTAATATTTTTTTTCTTTCATTTTTTTGGGTTTTTAAGGGAGGAGATTTAGGTTTGGAACAATTGCTAATAAGCAAGTTATATTAGTGATGACAGGACTGTCAATGGTATGTACTAATTCTTCCAATTTTTCTCAATTTCTCCTTGAATTCTCTCTCTCTCTCTCTCTCTCTCTCTCTCTCTCTAACTTTCTTTGTAGATTAATGCAGCAATAACTACTCAGCTATTATTAAGTGTGTTCAATATAGAAGGAGTGGTGCATTATGGCATAGCTGGGCATGCAAACCCATCTTTCAATCTTGCAGATGTGGTCATTCCTCAGTATTGGTCTCATTCTGCTTTATGGAGCTGGCAGGTAGGTAAAAATCACTTTCCCACAAACCTACCTAGCTCTATATTTGGCTCACCAATTACTAGCCATGCCTAACATTTTCCTAGCTAGGCAACTAGAAGAGGGAGAGGGAGAAAGAGAGAGAAAGAAAGCCTCCTTGTTTGTTTTACTATCTAACTATATGTGGTTGCCATTTTCACAAATGTCATTTTGGTGCAGAGATATGGAGAAGGGCCTCAAGATGAGCTGCCCCTTGAAGCAAATGGAGACTACACCAGAGAATTTGGATACTTGAATGTTGCAAATTACACTGTGAATGTGACAGATGGCAGCTCATATGACAACTTATTGAACAACATTTGGTTTCAACCAGAGGAAGTCTTCCCCATAGATGGAACTCCAGAGGAAAGACAGCATGCCTTTTGGGTTGCTGTTGATCCCCTCTACTATGAAATCTCCCAAGAATTGGAGGTAAGGCTACCTAATCTAGAGTCCAAATTATCGGTTGATATTCCTGCTCTTATCCAAAAATACGTCACTTTCGATCCTAAACCCTAAAACGAATTTGTTTCACGAAAATACTGTTAGAACATCCTCATAACTTGTATTCATACATGAATGTCGTTTAGGAACTGGAACTTGAACGTTGCCTAAACGCAACAACATGTTTGCCCCATACACCAAAAGTGGCTAGAGTCCAAAGGGGTACGAGTGCAAGCATTTTCCTGTCCAATGCTGCTTATCGCAGCTTCTTATATGATAAGTTCAACATAACCCCTCTGGACATGGAAAGTGCTTCTGTTGCCCTAATATGTCTTCAGCAAAGGGTGCCTTTCATTGCCATCAGGTCTCTCTCGTCTTCTTTGACCAGCGGCGGCTCAGGTGATCCAAACGAGGCTAGCAAATTCATAACTCTCGCATCGAAAAATTCAGTTACAGCAGTTGTGGAATTTATCAAACAGTTGTCTCTTCATCAGCTGCTAATTAATCATTGAACATATGTTTATTGCTCTAATAAAACTATCTATTTGTTGGAGGCATGCTCATCTTGCTTCTGTTAGCAATAGTCAATTAATGAGGATTAGTTTGGCACCTACAATGTTTAGTCAATTAATGAGGATTAGTTTGGTTGCCTAACTAGGTTGGTTGCCTAACTTGGTTGGTTGCCTAATTTGGGGGGCTTGACTAATGTCTTAGGAACTTGTATATATATATGTGTTGATTGTAAGTAATGAAATACAAGTTGAAATCAGAAAATATGCATAGCTTCCCAAAATTCTCTACACTCTCCATTATCTCTACTCAACCTTCAATATTTCTCCTTAATTTGACATGGTATCAGAGCAGCGATCTTGCTGACTCTAGTCTCGAATCGTTGCTGCAATCATGGGAGAAAACGATTTCTTTCCCACTGAAAGTAGCACCACCGATCCGGCTACTCCTTCTCAACCTACCTTCACAGAATTTGCTACTCAAATGGCTGAGTTGATGAAGACACAAGCATCAACATCGACTACGACTCCGACTTCGACAATTACCTACGAAACCTCCTCTGCACAAATTGGCATTAAATTGGATGGCTCCAACTATGCCTTATGGTCTCAAGTTATTGAGATGTATGTTGCTGGCAAAGACAAGCTGGGATATCTCATTGGTGAACTCCCAGCACCTTCTCAGACACCCTCTACATTCAACCGATGGCGGACAGAAAATGCAATTGTGAAAGGGTGGCTAATCAACTCCATGGAGCCAAGGTTGATTGACAACTTCATTAGATTCCCGACGGCCAAAGGAGTATGGGATGCAATAGCCACAACTTACTTTGATGGCACTGACTCCTCCCAGGTGTATGATCTTAAAAGGCGAATCTCCCGTATGTGACAAGGGGGAGGCTCGATTGAAACTTACTACAATGATCTGCAAGGCTTATGAAGAGAAATCGATTTTCGTCGTCCAAATGAGATGAAGTGTGAGCTGGATATCAAGAAATATTATGATATCATCCAAGAAGATCGAGTTTATATTTTCTTGGATGGTTTGGATGATCGACTTGACAAAGCCCGAAGTGATGTGCTCCAAATGAGTCTATTTCCTACAGTAGAGCAAGCCTATGCTCATGTTCGACGAGAAGATATTCGACAAGCTGTGGTGTTAGGAGCTCCAACACCAACCGGAGTAGGATTGACAACAAAAGGAACATACCGACCCTCTCGCCCAACTTCAACCCCAGTTGCTGCTTCTCTCCAGCTACAGACCACTACCAACAAGACGACTACTCCACCACCTTCTCGACCCAAGGCTCCCACAGATGGGAATGGTTGCACTCACTGCGG